CACATTCAATTGAACTAAACTATGCATGCCTATTTAAATATATTTACATATGGCTTGTGTATATCGTATATACTGATTATATAATATGAGGTGTGGAATGGAATGTTCCAAAACATACAATAATATATTAGTTTAATCCATTTACGAAACGAAGAATCTTACAGTGTTATTTGCTGTGTCGACCGCCAGGATTCGTAGCATAAAAACCGGAGTTGTTTCTCTGTCTGGAGATTTTGCAACGGATAGAACACCAGTTTCCAGATCAATCTGGAACTCTCCTCCATTATTTCCTAAAGTAAAAATAAGAATGTAGGAATACTGGACATTTGATAAAAACCTAACACGACATGCTAGATACAACCAGCTATAAAATAATCGGAAACTGTTTACTGCTGACTTTTAATAACTTATCCTCCCAGTCTGTGTTTGTGGTTGGTTGTTTTCGATCGGTTTTTTCCCAACTTGAAGTTACGTTTATGAATAGCAATAAAGTCTAGCATGGGGAAGTTCTCCAATACAAAGCTGACATGCATATTTTGTAAAAGGATTTAAGTTGAAAGTACAATAGGGTGGTATGTGGTTATCCAATGGGTGGTATGTGGTTATCCAATGAGTGGGGTGTGGTTATCCAATGAGTGGGATGTGGTTATTCAGTCACAGTAGGGTGGTATGTAGTTATCCAATGAGTGGGTTGTGGTTATTCAATCACAGTAGGGTAGTATGTGGTTATCCAATGAGTGGGATGTGGTCATTTTGCAGATGAAAGTATGTCTGGCTTAACATTAAGATTCTCAGACCCAGTCTGTTTTCATAGAGTGCAGGACAAACAGGCCATAATAAAATAGTCAAACTCTGATGAAGAGTTCTTCATGTAAACTCAGGGTTCCAAAAACTAAAGCATGCTTCACCTACTGCATATTTCTTTTGTTTCTTCTTCCAAATCTTTGCTAGATTTATTTCATTGTTAACGTGTTATCACTTCTGGTTAACCACTACAAAAGTTTGTAGCTTAGATTTTTTTCTGGAGAACATTCGTATTATTACACAACTTACAAGAGATAACCAAGGACCCTTGACCACAGTGGAGGCTGCAACTACCATCATGTCATCAGGGCCCCTGGCCACCCTGGAAGCTTCAACTGCTATAAAGACATCAGGGCCCCTGGCCACCCTGGAAGCTTCAACTGCTATAAAGACATCAGGGCCCCTAGCCACCCTGGAAGCTTCAACTGCTATAAAGACATCAGGGCCCCTGCCACCCTGGAGGCTGCGACTACCATCTAGTCATCAGGGGCCCTGACCACCCTGAGGCTTCAATTACTGTCTAGTCATTCAAGACCCTGACACCCTGGAGGCTTCAATTACTGTTTAGTCATCAGGGGCCCTGACCACCCTGGAGGCTTCAATTACTGTTTAGTCATCAGGGGCCCTGACCACCCTGGAGGCTTCAATTACTGTTTAGTCATCAGGGGCCCTGACCACCCTGGAGGCTTCAACTACTGCCTAGTTATCAGGGCCCCTGGTCACCCTGGAGGCTTCAACTGTCATTTAGTTATCCGGGCCCCTTTGTTGGATTTTGATTTAAAATTGAGTTAAATGACAAGGCAACATAAAAGCTACTCTTTCATTGCTCAAAGAATGTTGAGATGGTACCTTTGCATCTCAAGATGTTTCATCATTTCTCAATAAGGTGGCATGTTGCAAACTATATTGTCGACGTGAAGCACCAAAACTCTGATATTACGTGGTGAACTTCTGTAATGTGGCTGTTGCCTCATTCAGTCCAAAATATGTAGTCCTTTACAACACAATAGTTCAAACACCATGAGCAAAAGAAGAAAGCTATAAAAAAAGGGCATTGCTAACAAAAAACGTATTGATGTGACATCCAAACAATAAGTACTTGCCTTCTACGATGATGTATCGAAGTTTCCCTTCATCCAATTCATCTTTGTCTGTTGCAGTCAGTTTTGTTACCACGTGACCAGAAGGTGTGTTCTAGTAAAGATGAAAGAAGATCCAGTCATTTATTTGTCATTCTAAGTCAATTGATAATGTACTAACCAGCAAGTTCATAACTTCAAACGGTGGAAGTTTCTAAACATAAGATTATGTTTATCATTTGACATTTTCATAAACACAGTGCTTGATCATAGATCGGTTAATTGCCACTGATCGGGTTGAAATAAATAATGAAACATTTCCTCGAGAAATAAACATGTGTTTGTATAAAACGTTTTTAACATTACACTGTTCATAAATATTCAGTACAAAAAACAAGTTAGGAGTTGGAGAGTCAATTAATCCTTTATCTCCTTACGTTTTGGTTGACTAAATTTATATCTCTTTCAGTTCACTTACAATATGCTTGTACCTCCTTAAAGTACACTACAGTTTTTACCCACTAAAGTTTAATTACATTAAATATTTACCTTCTTAAGTTCCACTACATATTTTACCCACTAAAGTTTAATAACATTAAATATTTACCTCATTAAGTTCCACTACAATTTTTACCCACTAAAGTTTAATTACATTAAATATTTACCTCATTAAGTTCCACTACAATTTTTACCCACTAAAGTTTAATTACATTAAATATTTACCCCTTAAGTTCCACTACAATTTTTACCCACTAAAGTTTAATTACATTAAATATTTACTTAAGTTTCACTACATTTTTTACCCACTAAAGTTTAATTACATTAATTATTTACTTAAGTTCCACTACATTTTTTACCCAATAAAGTTTAATTACATTAAATAAATTACCCCTTAAGTTCCACTACTATTTTTACCCACTAAAGTTTAATTACATTAAATATTTACCTCCTTAAGTTCTACTAGGTTGTTCTTTTTCTCAAATACAGGATTGTTGTCATTTTCATCTTCTACTAGAACTTTGAGGGTAGAAGAGCTTGCACAGCGTTGGTTACTAGCAGTCACCTGGAAGATCGCAATTCGTATAATTTTGACACACACATATATACATAATGGGGAATGATAGATCAAAACGTTAGTTTCTTAAGTACATGTGTTTAAACACTTGAATAAAGTTATTCATTAAAGTAAGACAACATGAACAAGTAAATTTTATATTTTCAACTTGAACATCAAATACAGTGGCATATCACGGCTCGAACCTTGGACCTTCTGATCCGTAACCTAGCAAATAAACACTAAGCCACGTCTGTGTTCTGGGAGTGGTCTAGTTTCTAAATCTATCTATTTCGAGATAAGCCACGTGTGGCTAAAGAATATTGTCCTCTGATAAACGAAAGGTTAAATATAGTGTATGACCTAACGTATTCAAATGTTGATAAAACTATATATAAAGAATATTGTCCTCTGATAAACGAAAGGTTAAATGTAGTGTATGACCTAACGTATTCAAATGTTGATAAAACTATATATAAAGAATATTGTCCTCTGATAAACGAAAGGTTAAATGTAGTGGATGACCTGACGTATTCAAATGTTGATAAAACTATATGTAAAGAATATTGTCCTCTGATAAACGAAAGGTTAAATATAATGTATGACCTAACGTATTCAGATGTTGATAAAACTATATATAAAGAATACTGTCCTCTGATAAACGAAAGTTTAAATATAGTGTATGACCTAACGTATTCAAATGTTGATAAAACTATATGTAAAGAATATTGTCCTCTGATAAACGAAAGGTTA